GTTCAGTATAATTAACAGCGGAGCTCCTGCGTGCCGCAGGCATGCGAGCGGAGCCCTGTACCTTAGAAAATGTGGTAACCCATCAATCTGAGAAATTTTGGTTTTCACGTGACTGTCCGTACATCGGTCCGTACGCCAATACTTTGAAAACTACAAGAGTAGCACCATTACCATGGTTACATCTTTGATTTTTGGGCAAGCTATTGTTAATTGACAGCTGTCACAACAAACTATCTGCTGACCAGTATCATGTGATCATATCATGGGCTCAAGCTTAGAGCTCATCAAGGTTGCATGTTTTTTTGAAGTTGACTACTGTCCAGTTACTGGTTTTCCGATAAGATCGCAGGCTCAAGTCAGGTTATTTCTCTGGGGAAGAAGGAGGGAGTACTCGGAAAGGTAAAATTTTGGCGTAAAGTAACCCCTGGCATGTTCTTGACTTTTCTTCTGACGTATTCTTTGCACAATCGTTTCTTGGAAAGTCCTTAATACATTGCCTACGTAATTTATACAATCTTGGTTAGGCTTATTGGGTATAGTTTGTTAAAATTTAACTGGAAAAAAATAGCAAAACCACACGCTGAACAATTATATGCTCACAATCAATCATTTTCTGAGTTTCTGATCCAAGAAAAACTAACTCTCTTTTTCCTTTATGGTCAGTTATTGCAATCAGGAGCTTCACTTTTAGGCTTGACTAAATCTATATATTATCAAAATGTGGTAAGAACAAATTAAAATAGAGAAACACAAGCTGTTAGGTGAGGGTGTAATTGATGTTCTTACCACAATTTGACATAAATCTATGATTTGTTACTGAACAGATGCTTGGCAACGTGGAATTGACCTGTTAAACATAACAAAAAAACAAAATATTAAGTATGTTGTCTATATGTGTCTGTCCTCCGCTAGATCAAAAGTCACAATCAAAATGCAAGAACTGATCAGTAAACAAATTAGAAACAAGGAAGAGCATGAGAGCATGTGTGAAGAACAGCTCCCAAAGATACTGTCTGTTGTCTGTCAATCATCAGTCAGTCTACATCGTGTCAGCTGACAGACTGTTTGACAGGTTGCCAACAGCTTAGCGACAGCTTGATGGGAGCATATTAGGTTTTCTTTCCCAAACTAGTCACACAATAATTATTTTTCCAGTAACAATGGTGATGACATTCGTCAAGAAGTGGAGTAGAACCATGAAGATGTGTGGTGACAACAGAAGTGTCTAAAAAGTTTTAAAAAAATAATCATCTTAATCATCTTTTTGAAACATTGGGAATTCGACTACAGATGGTTGGAGATAAGAATCACAGCAACACAAGTGAATACTTACTGATAGGGGCTACCATTTGAAAACCATACACGTGTCCCAGGATGACCCACCACATGCTCATCACTCTCATACCATTGATTGCAGTAATGGCACTGGGAGGAACATTTGTATCCATAATACGACTTGTGTTTTGAATTAAAGAGAAACACAAAAAGAATTGTACCACCACATCTGTGTCAAAAAAAGCAAAACAAAATTAGTTATTTCCACAGGCATAATCATAATGAAGGGGTTTGTGGAGACATCTGATGGACTGCTACATATTCCCATTTAAATTGCATTGTGCTTGCTTCTATCAAAAGGAGAATTTGACATGAGATCATTGAGTCACTTAAGGCCTTCCTCAGTGCACCCCTTTGATTACAGCATGCCTAGAGCTCCAATAT